CCCTCAATTCCCGTCGTCGAGGGTGGCTGACCCTCTGGACCAGCCCCTTCCGCGCCCCCAGCGCGCTCACACTTGGAGGGGAGGACGGGGCCTGCGCCCCGACTCGCAGAGGTCGCGAGAGGCCCGGCGCCATCCATTTGTAGTGAAAGAAATGCCAACGCGCAAGGCGGACTTGCCCGTGCAGCCATTCGGTACACGTTTATTGAGCACCTACTGGGTGCCAAGCGCTTGCAGAGATCGTCTTCAAATGTACGTTCAAAACAAACGAACTTTTTACCCCTCGCCAAAGGACAATAGCCCTTTAGTGTGCTTGTCCGGGGACAGCTGCAGGACCCGTGTCTGAACAGGGTCCCCAGGACAGCTCCGGGGCGTACAATACCCCTTTGCGGTCAGTCCTGACCTGCGCAGCCCGTGCGCCGGGCTGACCCCAGCCAGCGAAGTTTGCTGCTCCGTGATTGCGAGGCCTGGGCCTCTCCAGTGACAGACCTGGGTGGGGCTGGGGGCAGGAGGAGGGGCAGGACGAGCATCACGGTCATTAGACTCAAGAACTGCTCTGGCCTGGCCTGGGGTCTACACCTGACGCCCGTTGGCCTCGGGGCCTGGTCCGACCCCGCCCGGGGGTGGGGTGGGGGGGGAGGCGGGGGAGACGCAGCTGGAAATAAATGGCCCCTCTCAGCTCCAGGCAGGACGCTTGAAGGGAAGTTCAGCAAACCCCAAGGCCCATCTCCTTGACAACCACCAATAAGAGCTCCTTTTTTCTTCTGCTCTCCAGGCCTGACTCAAAGACAAGACTTTTCTCTTTTTTGTCCACTCTGCCTGCACCAGTTTGCACCCACGTTTCCCCCTCCACACCAGCTCCCTTCCCTGCCCCCAACACACACACACACACACACCCTCACACATGCAGACACGTGCTTTCACATACACTCAGACACATCCTCACATGCACCCTCACACCCCCACGCACCCTGTAGCACATACACACACTCCCTCATACACACTCTTACACCTTTCTGTGGATGATCCCCTCAGCCCTGGAGAATTAAATCTGTGTCCAGTCAGCTCTTGCTCCCCATCTGACTTCTTATCAGTTTATGGCACTGGCCTGGTGGCTGAGGCTCTGGATCTCCCACATGCGGGAACCAGAAAGGGCCAGAGAGGAAGTGCTGCTTCTTGTCTCCACTAAGCACCTCCGCCCCATTGCTCCAGACATTTTAGTGTGCATGGCTGCTCCTGGCTGGTGGTTTAATTTGGGAGACCCTGCTATCAGGCTTTCTTTTGTCCCCCTCTCAATTGTGTGGCTTTGGGAGTCTGGTAGGGGAAGGAGGAGCTCCCTCAGAACTGCATATTATCATGTACATTGGGCAATAGGGTAAGAAATGTGAGGTGAGGGGGGCCTTTCAGGGGGCTCTGACCTACTAGAAACAATGTCCTTTAATGTGCCTGTTCATCAGGGATCCCCTACTCCTGGCCAAGTGTTCTCCAAGTTTGATGGCTGCAGTACTTTCTTCCAGGCTCCATCCCCTCAAGTCAAGGCAGAAATGGAGGCAGGTGATGGCCTGTTGGTCTGTGACCCCCACAGCCCAGCGACAGTGCTCAGTCATAACAAGCTTTCTTTTCCAATCTGCCCCCAAGTAATTGCTCAGGTCAAGTTTACTGGTGAATTAATACCCTCTAAGGTGTGTGACAGAGAGAAAGTGGCTCCTTCCTGGAGGAGATTGCAATCTGTGTGGAGGATCCAGAGAGCAGAGGAGGAGGGAAGTGGAAAGACCTGTAAACACCTTGTGGATGCACTCAAGGAGGTGGCGTAGCGGGCAGAGAAAGAGAAAATCACTTCCGCCCTGGGGGGAGGAGCTGTCTGGGAGCCCTCCCAGGATAGGTGACCTGGAGCTGGATGCAAAACATGAGAAGGAGGTTTTCTTGGTGGACAAGGAAGGACAGATGGAGAGAATGTGCCGAGGTCTACCAGAGAAGGTGAAGATCTAGCAAGCAAGCCAGAGAATGTTCTTGAAACACCTTGAAGACTGTAGAACACTGTAGGCCTGTGCTGGTGACATGGTGAAGGGCTGGTTTGCAGAGACCAGTGGGGTCTGTGTGGGAGTGGGATGGGCTGGTGAGGGGGAGCCTGTATGCCAGGACTCCTGCAAGTGTACCTGGATGCCTCTGAATGCTGAGCTGGCATAGTGGAGGCCAAAGGATGAGTTGCACAGTGACTTTGGCAGGAAGCACTCTATAGTTCCCAGCGCCTTCCAAATGACCTCTGAGCTCTTTACGTGGCAAATAAGGCACCTCATCCCTCTGGGGCAGTCCCAGCCTCATCGAATTGCTGCAAAGGGAGCCCCACAGACATTCTGCTTTTCACATCCCTGAGCCTGCACACCTCCCTCTGCTAAGAGCACCCTTTCTTTTTTCTCTTTGCAAGTCTCACCCCTCCTCTTCTGCCCACACCCCGACTCCTGCACCCCAGCTGGGTGTAGGGCCTCCTCTGGGTACCACAGTCCCCTGGACTTGCCACATCAGAGCTAAGCTCACCCTGGACTTTACGTCTGTCTCCTCCCAGACTAGGGGTTCCCAAGGGCAGGGCTTGCAGCTGATCTATGTCTGGGACCGCAGCTTTCAGTTGGGGTCTAAGACATTATTGTTAAATGAATTCATGAATGAATGAGTGGCCAAAGAAACAAGACAGACATCATTTAACTGAGGGGTCTTACTGTTCCAGGAAAAAGGTTCTTTGGCTATTTGACCATCCCCAGTCTGCCCCCAAGTAATCGCTCAGGTCAAGCTTGCTGGTGAATTAATACCCTCTAAGGTGGGTAGGCAGAGAGAAAGTGACTCCTTTCGCAAGGCTCACCCCTCACAGAAGAGGAGGGGTGAACCTTGTGAAGAGGAGAGACAAAATGTGCTCTTAGCAGAGGGACCTTGAAGGATGAATCTAGCTGCCCACCTGTCCACCTCCCCTGTGTACCTCTACCTTTATCTGCTGTGAGGAAGCTGGCGCTAGCCAGGAGGATCGAAGCCCTCAGGTGCCCAGAGCAGCCGACCTGGGGCCCTTTGGCTCCCCCTGGTGACGCCTCACACAGGTCTAAGGCGCCCAGGAGGGAAGAGGAGGTGAGCTCCCCTCTTCCTTCCTTCCAAGTACATGCTCTTCAATCTGACGCCAGCGAATGACCCTGGTCCTCAGCATTGGGAAAGCCATAAGCACTGCACCCAACAGGTCTAGGCTCAGACCACACCTTTGTTACTTATCAGCCCTGTAACTTTGACGAAATCACTTAACTCCTCTGTGTGCCTTCACTTCCTCTATATAACTGACCTCTTAGAGTTGTTGGGAAGATTAAACACAGGCAGTAGGACCTCTCTGAACCGCAGTTTTCTCATCTGTGAAACAATCTGTGAAACAAGAGTGCGCTAGTGTCTTTCTCACTAAGATGTGAGGAGGATTCAATGAGGTTTTGTACATAAAGCTCTTAGATCCAAGTCTTGTACACAGAATTAATCAGCAAGCTGCTACTATTATTATTATTACTATTATAATTGCGAGTACTAGTACTAATAATACTAATAGTAGCAGACGGTAGTAATATCCAACTGGTTAAGAGCACCTCACTACAAAATAATTTTCTAATGAAGAATTCTCTTGATTAACAGCAGTTGTGAAAGTTTTTTGAGAAGATAAAGTTCTCTACAAGCATGAAATGTCATTACACAGATGTTAAGCCCCAATCTTGATGACTTTAGAAGATTTTGTCATCCTTTTTTTTTATTAAAAATGAAATTGATGGTTGCACACATTTTTAGACCTTTCCTAGGGTGACCCTGAGCCACGCAAACTCTGTTTCGTGGCTTGACCTGTCAAGTGAGGGTCTCATTTCCCAGATATCCACATTCCAAACTCTGAAATGACCCCTGTCTGAGTCGTGACACTCAGAGTATCCTGACCTGTCACTGTGGCCTCCTCCACTAGGGGTAACAATAGCTGGCATGTGTTGAGTGTCATGTGTGTCCAGCACTGTGCTGAGATGTTCTGGGCATTGCATTATTTAAGCCTGGCAGGTAGAAACTGCCATCATGCCCACTTTACACCTATGAAAATGGGCACTCACTCCACCCAGGATCCCAGAACTAGCAAGTGACAGAGGTGGGATTTGAACCCAGGTCTGTGTGACCCCCAAGGTACATTCTTACCCATTTTCCATTATTGAAACACACCAAGGACCTCAAAGGTCTGAAGGGCATGATGATGGTTGGGTGCTCTTCACCATAAGCCTTCAAGTTTTACTTTTGTTTAGACATTGAGAAAAGTGGTTTTTTCACTAGACAAATTATAACAATTCATTATTCACATGGTCAATTTTAGGCACTGACCACTTTCTATTGATTTATCTAGAGATGAGATCTTGCTATTTTGCCCAGGCTGGGCTTGAGTTTGTAACGTTCTCGCCTCAGCCTTCAGAGTAATTGGAATTACAGGCGTGTGCCACCATGCCTGGCATCCCCACTTTTATGTTCTCTCATCTTTCCAACAGTTTTAAAATCTGCCCCCATGCCAAGGGGCACATGAGATAGGACGATACTTAGAAGGGCTTCCCAGAGTCTCCCAAAGGACCTGAGAAGCAGCAGTTCTTCCTCTGTAGCCATGGAGTACAGAGCCTTGCAGTGTGCCAGCTTATTCCCACCCACTACCTCTGGGGTGCTTACAGAATGAACCCATGGATGCAGGCTTATGGACAGTGAATCCTAGAGACAGCCAGACTGTACTCCTCATTCTACAGCTGGGGAAACGGAGGTCCAGCCTCAAGATCTGCTTCTCCTTGGACATATCCACCTGGAGTCCCTCAGGTACTTAAATGCCATAACTGGGCTTCGACTCCTCCTGCCCAAGCCTGGCCCTCTTGGGGCTCCCTCACCTGTTCTCACTCCACTCTCTGACCCCTGCCAACCTGTGTCTGTAACCTCTCCTCTCTGTCCCCTCTGCCACTGGTTTTGTTGAGTTGACACCAGCTCTCACCTGAATGACTCCACAGAGGCTCAAACTCAACACCAGGGTAGCTGGAGTTAGCTCTCAACAGGTTATCCTGACCCCGTCACTTCTTGCTACTCATAAGACAAAGTCTGCTTAAACCCCTCAGGGATGGTGCCCTGTGGGCCTCTCCCTCTCACTCCTCTGCCTGGCAACCCCCACAACTTCCTCTCCACTTCATGCTGCCTCGCTCTTCTGAGCCACAGCTCCCTCCATTCCCACCTCTTGCAATGCCCTTTCCTCTCTCCTGGGCTTGGCAGACATAGATACAGACTCAGCTCAAGGCCCTGTCCTGAGAGTCCTGCCCCACACTGAGCCCCAACTGCATCCTGCATGATCCTCCACCATGGGCACTGCTGCAGCATTGAAATCTGGAGCCTATCAGCTAGTAGATGTCTCCCCCTTAGGTCAGAATGTTGAGGTGTGCAGTTAGTTAGATATACTGGTTACCTATTATTTCTTCCAGACCTCAACCCAAGACCCCAGAAGCGAACAGGTGACTGGCTG